GATATTTAGTTTGTATCGTTCGAGAGACTTGATGGGGGCGTGGTAGTCATGGTAAATGATCAATCCTGTGATATTTATGGGATAGGTACCATCAGGATCTGGATACACGATGGAGTTGTTCGTGAATTGAATGAAGTGAGATTTTTTCCTCAGTTAAAGAAGAATCTTATTTTCGTTGGAGCTTTGGAGGCGAAGGATTAAAGGTGACCTTTGAGAACGCTACAACGAATGTTACTAAGAGATTTTTGGTGGTGATGAAGGGAGTCCGCAGTAAGAATTTGTATTATCTAAAGGGAAGCACCGAGATTGGCTAGGTAGCTTCAGCTATTTCAAAGGCGGACGCTAGCAGAATTTGGCACTATAGGTTTGAGCACATAGGTGAAAAGTCACTGCAGACTTTGTGTAAGAATGGACTATTGAAGGGAACCAAGAGTGGGAAAGTTACATTCTGTAAGCATTGCGTTCTTGGCAAGAAGACGAATGTGAGGTTCGGGACAACCATCCATAGGACGAGGGGCATCTTAGAATACGTTCACACAGATGTTTGGGGTCCCACCAAGACGACATCACTTGGTGGTCGATATTGGTTCGTCATGTTTGTCGATGACTATTCTAGGCGTTGTTAGGTATACACCATGACGAAGAAGAGTGAAGTCCTAGAGATATTTATGGAGTGAAAGAAAAGATTGGAACTGCAGATTAGGAGAAAGACCAAGACGTTATGATCCGACAATGACGGTGAGTATACTTCTAACCCATTTCAGCAGCTATGTCGAGACGAGGGCATAGAGAGGTACTTCATAGTTAGTCACACACCGCAGCAAAATGGGGTGGCAGAAAGGTCGAATCGGTCTTTGCTAGAAAATGTCTGATGTTTATTGTCGCAGAGTGGTTTGGAGAAGATCTTTTAGGCTAAAGCACTTTCATATGCTAGCCACCTCAGTAAAAGGTTATCTTCATCTGTGATTAAGGGGAAAACCCCTATGGAGATGTGGTCGGGAGAGCCAGCACATGATTATTATCAGTTCAAGGTATTTGGGTATCTTGTATTTTATCATGTGAAGAGTGATAAATCAGAACCTCGAGCTGAGAAGCCCATATTTGCGGGATTCAAACGAGGTGTCAAAGGATACAAGCTTTAGGATCCAGTTTATAAGAAGATTATGCTTAGTAGGGACGTCATATTCGATGAGGCTTCGATCTTGAAGCTTCTTAGCTCTCATCAGGTGGAGAGCACCCCGACAGAGGATATATCATAGGTGATGGAGATGATGCAGCTCCACATTGTTCAAATGAGACAGTATCCATTAGAGTGCCGATTGAGGTGATGTCAGGCAAGCACGACGATGATTTGGAGGATACAGTTACAGTTGAGCTGCATCAGTGACCGACGACTTAGGTTCAAGATTCTATTGTGCTTCGGAGGCCGAGGGGAAACATACAGATGTTAGCGAGGTATATAGACACAATCGTTGTGTATGCACTTCCGATAGAGAGTGTCGATGAGATGGTTCCTACTACATTCAGAGAGGCCGAGCTGAGTTCGGAGGCTGATTTGTGGTAGATGACTATATAGGAGGAGATAAAGTCTCTTCATAGGAACGCCACATGAGAGCTTGTCGAGCTTTCAAAGGGACAGAAGGTTATTAGTTGCAGGTGGGTGTATACAAAGAATGATGGTATTGAAGGCACTCCCGTGAGGTTGAAGGCTAGATTGGTTATGAAGGGATATGCACAGGAGGAAGTTATTGACTACAATGAGGTCTTCTCTCCGGTGGTGAAGCATTCTTCGATTCGGATTTTGTTAACTTTGGTGGCATAATATAGTTTAGAATTAGATCAATTGGATATGAAAATAACATTTCTTCATGGTGATCTTGATGAGAAAATCTATATGACTCAGCCATTGGGGTTCTGAGCTGTAGGGAAGAAGAAATTGGTTTGCAGATTGAAGAAATCGCTATACGGTTTGAAGCAATCTCCGAGATAGTGGTATAGGCAATTTGATGGGTTCATGATCGGTCATTCGTATAGGAGCCAGTTTGATCATTGTGTATACTATCGTAAGTTGAATGGAGGTACGTACATTTACTTATTGTTTTATATCGATGACATTTGGTTGCTTCTACTTCCAGATCCGCGACAGATAGATTGAAGATTCAGCTTTCGAGCGAGTTCGAGATGAAGGATTTGAGTGAAGCGAAGTACATTTTGGGAATGGAGATCGGCAGAAACAGAGACAATGACAGAATTTATTTGAAACATGTGGCTTATTTGAAGAAGGTTCTACAATGGTTCAATGTGAGCATGGAAACGAAGCCTGTTAGTGTACCATTGGGAGCTCATTTGAAACTTTTAGCTGACCTTTCATCGAAGACAATTGAAGATAGAAAGTTGATGTTGAATACTCCGTATGCGAGCGCAGGGGGAAGTTTGATGTACGTCATGGTTTGTACAAGGCCAGATTTGTCACAGGCGGTGAGCATGGTTTAAATACATACACGATCCGGGTCCGGGTCATTTGGACGCCGTGAGATGGATTTTGCGGTACATTCGAGGTACTCTCAACGCTGGTTTGGTTTTTGAGCGGGACACTAGCGGTGGGCAGCTATGTATTGGATACGTAGATTCAGACTACGCTGGAGATTTGGGTAAACGCTGGTTAACGATGGGGGTATGTGTTCACTTTGACTTGAGCGTCGGTGTGTTGAAGATGCACCTTACACTCTACTGTGGCTTTATCGACGATGGAGGCAGAGTATATGGCGATTACGGAGACTATTAAGGAGGCGATTTGGCTTTGAGGACTTTTGGAGGATCTTGGTGTTTCGTAGCGATCCGTCACCATTTATTGTGATAGCATGAGTGCTATTTATTTGGTGAAGAATCAGGTCTTTCATGCGAGAATTAAGCATATCGACATTCGTTATCACTTCGTTCGAGATGTTCTTGAAGATGGGGATGTGGAGATCTTGAAGGTCCACACAAAAGACAATCCAGTAGATATGATCACAAAGGTGGTTCCGAGCAACAAGTTCGATTATTGTAGAAACTTGTTACAAATTCGTGATTGTTGAGCCCGTTCGTGACCATTTGGATGAACTATGGACGACTTGATCCCTTGGGAGAGGGGGTACGTAGGCAATCACATTGGTGCAGGCGAACTTGGTGAGACGACGCATTCTCATGTTGGTGTCGGCTCAGTTTTGGAAACACTTCGCCGAGGTAGAGAATTGTAGAAAATGGCGAAAGATTTGAGAAAATCGTGCAAAAACACGAGTACAGGAAATTCCTCGGGTCGGTCGATATGCTTATTGTTGAATTACAGGATTTGAAACCCATCTCTGGTCGGTCGACCGAACAGGTATGTCCGGTCGATCGAAAATGTTCACATTACAGGGTTCAAAATTCGGGTCTTTGGCCGATCGACCGAAACAACATGTCCTGTCGACCGACAAGCGGTTATGGGCCTGTTTTGTTTTCCTGGTTGGTTTTAGATTGGGTGTTTGATATAAATACAAACACGTTTTTTAGGGTTTCTAAAGGAGAGAATTAGCATTGTTTTGAGCACTTTGAGAGGGAGATATTATAAGGGAGTTGAGAGTTTTGGTTAGGGTTATTTTTGAGTGATTTTGTGAGTTGTAACCCGTTGTATTTTTTCTCTGTATAGTAAAATCTCACCCATCCTCTCCCCGTGGACGTAGGCAATTGCCGAACCACGTAAATCTATGTGTTTGGTTTGATTTGTGTCGTATTTTGGTGAATTGTACTCGTATTTGATTTGATTTTCTTCTCTCATCGCTCACCAACTCGTTTGGTTGTCGAACACCTTCCGCACGGTGCGCAACATCATAAACCCAAAATAGTTGAGATGCCTATTATTGGACATCCAAGAACATCCTTTCTTTTTATTTTTCTTGAACCGTGTAGCTTTAGAGTACGTGCTGCGTGACTAGCATTCCATTGACATCATTACAAACTTTGATTTGGAAAACAAGTCATAATTGACCCCTAAGTCTTCCTTAATTGTACATTAGACCTCCAAATCCTCGAATTTTTAGAATAGACTTCTATTTTTTTTAAACAAACCTCGATTCCATCCATTTTATTTATATTTTACTATCATAAGGCCAGCACTTAAAAACATTTTGGTTAGATGGTTAAATTTTATTAACACGAGCCCTCCTCCTTGTTCCAGTTTCTATCCCGGTCCCTCATCTTTAAGTTTAACCATAGTTCAATTTAACTACGCAGTTTTTAGAACTTTACGTATCTGAAGGTCTAATTTAGTAGTAGAAACGTATCTGAAGGTCTAATTTAGAAGTAGAAGTTTTTAATGAAACACTGGCTGCTCTCTTGACTCGTCATATTTCCTTGTAAAAATATAGAAATGGAAACTTTTGTAGCCGTAATATGCAATTAGGTAAGTTTAGAGGGTCTATGTGAAAAAGGATAAAAAAAAATCCAACGCAGCATTTAATGGGTCCCGTAAACGCTCGCAAGTCACAAGACTCAATGCTGTCGACAAAAAGGGTCTGTATTCGCGGTCCCTTAAAAGTTTCCTAACCAGCAATGCTGCCCAGTCACAGTTCAACTCCTACCGCCCCCAAAAAAATAATCCCCGACGATCACCAGAAGTCAAAAAAAAAAATCCACATCCTTAATCCCCCCCCCCTAACAAAAACCATTAAAAAGCGCCATTAAAAACCCCAAATGGAGCTCCCTGGTCGCCGATCAAGCTACTCTCTTTCTCACCATTACCTACGACGATCCGCCTCCCTCCCCCGCCAAATTCGACTCTCCCTCCTCTACAAACCTAAACTCGTCCCTTTCCCTCAGATCCCAACGCCAGCCAGGCGGACCTCCTGCCGAGAGTCCATCTGCGGCCGCGACTACTACATGCCGACTCACCATCTCGCTCGTTACCTCCATCCCACCACATCCCGCATCGCCTGCGCGGGTCGGCGGCCGCGGAGGGTGGAGATAGGAGGGACGGCGGCGCGTCGTGGATCGGGCGAAGACGCTGGGCGCAGCAGGCGGAGGAGACGTATCAGATGCAGCTGGCGCTGGCGCTTAGGTTGTGCTCTGATGCTGCGTGCGCTATTGATCCGAATTTCTTGGAGGCTGGTGAGCAGATCGCTGGAGCAGGAGCGATGGCGGCGAGCCTGGGGGCTGAGGCTATGTCACATCGGTTCTGGGTTCGGATTCTGAACTTTGATGTGTTGATAAACTTGGAGTGTTAGCAGTGTGAACAAGCAAAACCCTAAAATTACAAGTTAGGAAAAGCTGTATTGTTGCTTATAATGTTTCTCCCTAAGAGTTACGAACACGAAATTAGAGTTTTGTCTCCTTCTTCATGCAAACAAATTGGTAGTTATGCTGCTACTATATGTCGCCCAGTGGAGACATAAGCCTTTAAACAATCTGTGATGAAGTATTTGGGGTGGGGTGGGGGTGGGGGGGGGG